ATAAGAGATGTATAATATAAACCCGAATCTTTATATCAAAATGAAGAGACTTTAATTTATATATATTTTATTGCATATAGCTATTTCTTTTGGAGACAGCTAGGGAGCATTTAGTACGTGGAGAGGTGCACCTGTGTGGGGATCTGAACGAGAGTGTTCCCTTGTGCTTGCATAGCCTGTGCTCATGAACATATATCACATGTATATCTCTCCCCCCCTCTTCTCCATTTATAAAATATCAGTGTGATGCTTTAGAAAAGCTGTGAGCTCTGTGCAGTTCTTTACCCTTTTGCCAGACGATGCCGTTGTTTATAAAATCGCACTTCTCTGCCAGGCGGCTTGCACCCTCCGTGCTAATTCACACTACCGAGTCATTTATCCAGCTTTCATTTCTCTCTGAATTACCCGTCTCGGAGTCAACCAGAAGCACCAAATTCCTGCCTTTCTGATGAATGGACAATATTGTCTGCTCTTTTCAGGGCGAGAGAAAAATAGCTCTGGCAAACGGGAGCGCAGCCGGGGGTTTCTCGGAGCCGGGTGGGGCCGGTCCGCGCTCTCGGCCGAGCCGTGGGCGAGCCGGGGGTGCTCGGGTGGGAGAGGCAGCGGGGAGGGCTCGGCGGGAGCCGGGCTGCCCCGGCACGGCGAGCAGAGCCCGCCGGGGACTGCCCCGCTCCCCGCGCGCCGTGCCTGCGTGCGGTTTGGTGTTCCTGGGCTGGCTTTGGGCTGCTTCGCAGGAGGCGCTAATTAGAGTGTAACTGCCAGGTCATTGATTTCATGTTACCAGAGTTGTTGTTGTTGTTTGGGTTTTTTTTTTCTTCTTTTTTTTTTATTTTTTTTTTAATTTTTGTTTTTGTTTTGTTTTTGTTTTTCCCCCTCACACATGAAATACCAGCCCAGCTCAGAGGCAGTAAGAGCTGGGTTGGGGACAGTCTCAGAGATCCCCCAGACCCACAAAACCCAATTAACCTAATACACGCACACTGCTGGCTTGGGAGTTTCAAGCTCCAGACCCGCGGATCTGTCTGTTTTCCCTTTGTTGCTTTGTTGTAAGTCTGCTTCTGAAGACGATATCTGAATGCAGGGAACATTATCAATGACTTTTAAATAATAACAAAGGGGAAAAAATAAAAAATAATCAGCCCCGCCTCTTCCAGTTTCAATTACTCTAATTAAAAACCCGAAAGGCAATTCCTAGGCAATACCTAATAATAGAATTAGCAATCGGATCCATCATTTCACACGGGGATTTACTTGCAGGGGTTCTCTGCGAGCTCTATTAATAATAATAAAAAATCCTGCTAACCCTCTTTTTAAAATTAATAACTCTGTAATTATAATAATTTTATGTGCCTTTTTATAAGAAGAGGTTAATGTTGCCACAGTCTGGGGATGGGAAGGATGAAGTGAAGCGAAATACTGCTGCTTAAACTGACACCTTCCTATTTTATTAGGAGACATTATTATTATCAGACATCTGCAGGTAGAGAATTAAAATTAAAATCGCTTTCAACAATTCAATACACTTTTTATCAGCCATCTATCTGAAAATCATGAACATTCATCATCGGAGGCATTCTCCCTGAAAACAAGAACCCATTCAAATTTTATACAAATTATCATATTTATCATAGTCTGAAACTCTGGAGTAACATCTCCACAAACTGTCTGCTAACTCCCCAGGGAACTGAATTCCACTCCGCAGTCGCTCAGAGCAATTCTCGCTCCCTCTCCCTCTCTCCCGGCCCTTTCACACTCTCTGCTTCCCGCGACTCCGCAGCCCCCAGAGCAGAGGGAGCGAGGACGCAGAGGGAACGGGCTGGGGGGAGAAGGATGCGGCGACAAACAACATTAAAATAACACACAACAGGGGGAAATGCCTACCTACTTCTTGCAAGAGAAAGAAGTTTCGCCTGGTGTAGGAGACTCTAAAGATTAAAACTCTCTGCCGGTTTTGGGAGAATGGCATCGATTTATCTTTGAGGTTGATGCCTTTGCATAAGACCATTATTAAGAGCAGAATATTAGTAATAATAATAATAATAGTAACAATAATAGCAGCAATAGTCATAGTAATAATGATATCTGATCCTTGCCAGTTCGGCGGGGTTTTATTTGATTTTTTTTTTCTGGGCTTTGGTTGTTTTGGGTTTTGTGCGGGTTTTTGTGGTTTTTGGGGGGTTTTTTAGTATGGCTGGTGGGGTTATTTTGTTCGGTTTTTTTTTGTTTGTTTGTTTTTAATTTTTTTTTTCCCTTGTAGAATCCCATCAGCACAGGGAAAGATATTGGCTGTTATTTGTGTGGGCACTGGGTGCTGGTGACAAATGACACGAATCCCTGCTTCCTGTTTGCGGGTTTGGATGAGACAAATCACTTCCCACGCTTTGCTAATGACATAAAGTTCATCAGTGCTGAATCAGGGGCTGGAGCCGCGCCGGCTGCACGCCTTGGCGCGTCCCCTCCGCAGATGCGCTGCCCGCGCCGCGGGAGCGGCAGCGCGGAGCGGCTCTGCCCCGGCCCCGGGGCCCGGCCCCGCGCACCTCAGCACCGCGGAAAAAAAGTAGTTCCAATACAATGTTTGTTAACTAGGTTATCTAGGCTGTAGAAGATTTTAATGTTGAATTTTATAGCTTTACCACGCTCTACCGTCCTTGTGAATATTGTAATATTGCATTTTTTACAAGTTACTCTTCTGTTAATGTTCCAGCTAGTAACTTTTATAATCCTCCTCAATGAAATTTTTTTGTATTCTTCCGCACCGTTAACCTCAATGGCGGCACCTCAGCCCCTGGCAGGAGGCAAAGATGAAATGAATTCCTCTTTAATCAGAAATAATAATAATAAAAACACACACAAGGCTCCCTCTGCCTTTTATTTCAGTTTCCCTTTTCGGGGAGGGGTGATGCCGTGGGAGCCTCCAGCCCCTGGCCCCTGCTGTGCTCCTTGGGTGTGCCTCTGGCAGAGCTGGAGGTGCGCCAGGGCTGCTGCTCGCCCAGCCCTGGCCACTTCTTTGGGGACAGGGGATACAGCCTGTCCAGCTCTCGTCCCTCTGCCCCCCACCCCCTCCTTTGCTGCTGTGTTCTGCTGAAGCCTGGAGGCTGGCTGTGCTGCAGGTGTGAGCAGGAGGCCTTCTCAGGGCTGCCCACAAGAAGGGAAAGTTGGGCACTTATTTTCCCTCTGCTTCCGTATCTCTGTCTGTGGGTTGATTGAGATGCTCTGCGGAGCAGCAGCAGCTTTAGAGCAAGTCCTGCTGGTGTCAGTCAGTCGAGCTCGAGTGGCTCTCTGGTTTCTGTTGACCTCAGCTGGGCTGGAGGTGCCCAGGTCCTAGCTGTTTGTTTTGCTGAGTAGTCTGAGATGCATCTATAAGAGGTACATGTTCAGAAAATGCACTCGGGCTCCAAATGAAACAAATCCCTTTGGATGTAAATAAAGCTGGAAATCACACCCCCCCTCCCCAACCCCACTCCACAATCTCCCCAACTTCTAGATGCCCTTAAAAATTAATCTGACTTGCAGGCAGAAGTGATCATCAACCAGCAGAAAAAGGAATCCTGCAGTAGCAATGAACTGAGTGCCTGTTAGCTGAGGGGCTGCATTTTGAACAAGGATTGGATACTGTTATTTCCCTTGGTTGCTAGATTTTAAGAACTTGGGTTCAGCCTGAGTCTTGTGTCAATTAAATACGGGAGGGGTTTCTGTATTCAATGCAGGGCATATGTGAGGGCTGCCTCTCAGCCTTACCTACCTGTTAACTTCAGAAGCTGCCTTGAGAGCTCTTGGAATACTGTCCCCAAGCTCACCCTGGCAGCAGCTTGTCTCAGTCCCGGAGTCAAGTGATTAAAGCAGCTCTCAGCTTTGATGTATTTTCAGCTAGTATAGTTGTGAGGAGACGCCTAGCTCAAACCTTAGCAATAAAATGAGAAGGATGTAAAGTTTGTAAATTTGTTTGTATCGCAAGCTATAACTGACTCATGACTGATACAGGGTTTGGGGATGACAACGGGAATCTTGCGTATTTTAGGAATCAAAACTTTTTTTCTTCTTTAAATACACACAAGATTACTAGCAATTTATGAGTGCAATTTTTCTCTTAGAAGTCTACAGCTGGGAAATCACATAGATTTGTATGTTAGTGTTGAAGAATAACCTGAAACCAAAACACACAAATAAAAGACCACTTAATTTAAAAAAATTATTATTCAGCTATACTATTCCCTTTTTAATTTATTTGTTTAAAGCTGCACATGTCCAATAGATGCAAATTTCTCTTAAAAAATAAAATGGTGCAGGTAGGTTAGATTATTTTAACAGAAATGTCATTATTTAGCTAGTAAATACTCTGGTGTCACCTTGGAAGGCAAAGATACAGACTAGTTTTTGCTCTAAAGCCTTAATTTAGGAAAGAATTTTTCTTCAAGGCACCTATCTGAAAACCTTGTGGGATGCCTTTCAGAAATCATTTTCAAAGTTAGCACAGAGCAGACAAGTAGGAAAAACAGATACAGTGTTTCTGTGTTATTGGTGAGAAGTAAAGGCAAAAGTAGGTGGAGGGCACAGAGAAGAAGAGTAGCAGATCTGGACACCAGGTTATTGCTAATATGGTAAAGAACTATTAAACAAAATGTTTGTCTCCTCAGGCTTGGACAAAATCAAGAGTAGGTTTGTTCTTTTCTTGTCTAGAGACCAGCAGGTCACATCAGATTTCCTGAATCCCACAGGGAAGCAGCTCCTCTTAGCAGAAGCACCCTGGCAGTTCTTGGGTGCTCTCTCTTGGGATGTCCATGAAGTGGCTCAGGCTATAGAGCACTCTGTTCTGAGCAGGGCTGGCATGTTAGGCTGCTTGCATCCTACTGGGAAAAGAGAAATGGTGCCAAATATCCCAGTGGAATTTAATGCTCTGACCAGCCTCACCTGTAGCCTCCACACCCTCTGGCCCATGGGCTGGGGCCCAGGAGGTCTATTTAAGCTCAGACCTGGGCTTTGCTTTGTTTATGCAGTAGGTGGATCTGTTTTCCTGACCTTTTGGATAGACTTTGGCCTTGCATTGTAAGTAGCTTATTTCCTGGCTGCCCCCCTCACACACATCTTACGTTTTTCCTCCAGTAACGTCTGCTAGCTGTGACTTTTGCATGGTCTTTAGGCCCATGTTGCAGTGTTTTTCCCAGTCCTGTCTGACCCTGTTGATGGAGCCTGCTGGCAGCTCCTGGCAGTGCCTGCTGTGCTCAGGCACTGTGCAATCCTGCCCCACCACTGTGTGCCTGTGCTGGGGCTGCCCTTGGCCCCTGGCTTGTTCTCCCTGAGTGCACAGCCGGTCCTTGGCCCTTGTTCTTCCCTCAAAGATGTCTTTGCTTATCCTACAGAGCTACTGCAGCTCTCTATGATTCCTCTTGAGATTTTATTTTTTTGTTGTGGTTTTTTTTTTTTTTTTTTTTTTTTTTTTTTGAGAGTTGATGTTGCTCCATCAAGGGATTACTTGAGGTTCTTGATACTGTTTGTTTTTATCCTGGCAGCAGTCAAGAATTAAAAAGATTACCTAAAAGCCTATGCTCCTCAGTGCTTTTCACCATGAGAGCTCAATAAATACTTGAAAGGTAAGAGAGTAATATTTTGTGAAGTGTTGGCACTTAAGATGTGTCCCTCTTCAGTTTTCTGTGAAATCAATATTCAAAACCCTTTCCTAGGATCAGTGAGGGATTCTTGGTCAGACAAAATTTGATGGAGATATTAAGAACATTCACTTTCCCCTTCTCCTTCCCTTTAGAGTTTCGATAGTTTTTCAGATCAAAAACCTTTGTAGTCTCTGATTATTCCCTGTAGAGACTTTAAACTTCTTTTTACTACCTCTTCTCCTACTTAACATCTGTGCTAGGATATTTTAATGCCAGTACCTTTCTTTCCTGAAGCTTTTGAGAATACTCCAAGAATGTATTGCTAGATGCTTTTCTAATATGACCATGTTTGCTCTTGTATGAACCCTTATGGCCAAAAACCATATGAAAATTTGCAAGCCTTGACTTAAATTTGGTGTTCCCTTAGTCTGGAGCAGTAGCCCCCATGTGTTTGCTTTGGCATGTGAGACAAAGTTAACTTGAATTTCTTAATTTTAACAACAAAAATACAGCAGAATTTTTCCTCATAATTATTTTCTTTTTCTTTAAACTCACTGCTTCTCTTCTGAAAAACATTTACATGCAATTTGAAGCTAGCTTATGACTGCTGAAGTGATTTGTAGACAGAATGTCTTCTGTGCAAGTGCGAGCAGTTTTGGACTTAGCACCTCATACTTCTTGAGAGCAGAGCTAGGGAAAAGAGAAGAGAAGACATAATTCTGAAACAAGTAAGTTCACACATGCAGTTTTTCTGTTACTAGCAGATCACTGACTGGTGAAGAAAATATACTTTCAAGAAAGTATGAAAAATTCCCATTGGAAAGATCAGTGATGAGCTGGCACCTTTGGAGAGAGGAAAATATTCTATGCAAGTGAGGATTCAAATTCCCATCAGCGATTGTGTTGGTGATGTAAATGTGTGTGTCAGAGACCATGATGTCTTCACCCTGTCCCAGCTGCCTGTGTCAGCTCTTGCACAGATCTGTGCCATCACTCTGCCAAGGCTGGAGAGAGCTGGGTGCCAGCTGAGGAGTCCAGAGAGGAATACTGTGGGTGTCTGCTGGGAAGCTGGAGGCACAGAGCTGTGCAGCAGGAAAGGGGGAGAGTGCAAGCAGGTACTGCTCACCCAGCACAACAGGCCCTGCCACTGTCATCACCTGTCGTGCTGCATGGGAAGGAATTCAGATACTGGCTGTAAGGTCACTGCACAGCTCACTGTGGGCTCCTGAGCCTCACCTGGCACCTGCTACTGCTGTAGTACAAGTAGCAGTGGTGGGCACAGGGAATAGGGCAGAATTTTTTTCTCTTATACTGTTTTGAGTCTTTAATGTCAATTATGGCAACAAATATCTGCAGTTTAGGAGTGCTCCATGTGTCTACCCTAGTGATGAACTACAAAGAGAAAAAAGAGCTTAATCTTTAGTAAAGAGCAACTCTTCTCCTTACAGAAATGTCAGCAATTCATTTCTCAGTGAGGTTGCTTTGCACACACATACATGAACACGACTTAAAAGTATTTCTTTCTGTAGGTTTGCAGTGTATTTGCAGACTGTGCAAGCATGTTCAAATATGCGTGTTACATGCATGTCTTGTGTGTGAGTATTGAATTGTCTTAGCATGTCTAAAGGGTGTGGGCTTTGCATATGGAATCTGTGCTGTGGTGCCTGTGAATGCTTGGGTGGTGAATGAATAGGAGATGGAATGTATCTCTGCAGGAGAAGGCACTGTCACACATGCACACATTTATATGGATGAAATTGTGCCTGAGGGTGAGGTGAGAAGGTGTGTGAGCCTATGTGACAATGTAAGTTCCTCTGTGTATCCTTAAACACGTGGTGGATGCCCACATGCAGGCACCCTGGGGATTCTCACATGTGAACACATGTGCAGGTGTCCGAGTCATGAGTGGGAACGTGTGGGGCACATGTGAATGTGAGCCTGCACATGGGAGAACAGGATGTGTGGGTAAGGGAGCACCAGCAAGCTGCACATCTCCTCCTTTTGAGTACAGGCAGAAAACTACAGTATGGGGAGGACCTTGGCTGGCATCTGATAGAACTGGGCATGTTTGCAGAAGATGAAGCAGAATAGACAACATGAAAGTTATTTTTGTCTATCAGCTGCAGCTTTATAGAGACATCAACAAGCTCTTGTCTCATGCCAGCTTAATTCCTAGTTAATCAGCAGTCTGCTTGGGCAAAGGAAGGAACTCGCATCAGGGGCTGATGATGAGCCAAACTTCCCAATACTGTTTCGGGAGCCTGCAAGGAGCCCTCAGTATTGCTCTGCCTGCACTTGGCTACATTGCTAACCACTGGGATAACCTCTGGGATAGCTGATGGCTTCACCAGTTGTGTTCTGGTGGAAACCACTCCTGCACAGGGAGCATGGGTTGGTCCCTTGGGTATCCCTCCTCAAGTGGTGAGCAGAAGTTTTTCTTCACTGTCTGTGATTAGATGCCTTATCCAGGAAAGTTTCAAGTGACCTAAATAATCCCAAGGCTTTAATCCTCTCTCTTGGGGCACTTCCATGCAACCTGCAAGTTGCCTTTTGCTTGCTCCATTTCCATTACATTTAGTGACATCTTCTTCTGTTGTGGTGCTCTATAGAAATACTGCTTCTTCCTTCCCTCATTAATGAACAAAAATCCTCTTTTGCTCATGAGCCTTGTATAATGCAGCTGAGGGCCAGCTCATGGTCTTTTCTAACAGGACTTTACCATCTATTTCACCGAAACCCCACATTTCTCCTTTTTTCTTTCTAGTCGGTTTCTTTAATGCTGCCAAAGTGGTGTGGGAGGGTATCTGCCTGCTCTGTGACTGGTGTGTGTTTACCACAGACCTATAGCCAAACTAATCAAAGTGCTGATTGCACAGATCCTGGCCACCAGCCTGATGGTTGCTTTCTGGGAGCTACTGCCGTGGTGTTTAAATGTCCTCAGATAGTAACAGGAAATTCTCATCTGTGGCTGGTTGAGATTCAGCCAAACTGGGGTGAAATCATCTTGGGAATGCCTTGAACATTAGTTATTTCAGGTAGGTTCTGTGCATGTCCTTGTCCTGTAGCGCTCCCTATGATGGCAAAGTCATCCAGGGCAAACATTTCTCATTTCTTAATGCTTCCCACAAAAAAAAAAAAAAAAAAAAAAGACTAAGCTACTATGAATTTCCTAGGTCTTGAAAAGCACCCATGGGTATATAGCTGGTGTTCATGTCTTTTCTGTTTTCATATTGGGTTTTTATTGTGATGAAGTATAGTGTAATTCAACCATCAAGCATTCAGGTAACCCCCAGCACACCATCTTGCCTCCAGCTTTGCTAGGAAGACTGATCTCTTTTCCTTTTGGATGCTGAGCAGGATGGGATTTATTTCATTCTTACAAGGAAGTGATCACCACAGAGTGGGTGCTGTGACCATAGAACTGTGGTACAAGAACTTGTGTTAGACCATAGGCATAAAACAAGAGTCTTCACTTGGCCCTGTCTTCACTGCTGATAAAGGAGAACATTTGGTATCGTCGTTTACAAGTGTTTGATATCCTTTGCTCTATGGCATTAATAAACCTGAGAATTGGACTGACATGGTACTCGGCTGTTCCCTTCCCCCTGCTGATGATTACTGTGTTACCTTACCTTTGTTTTACGGGCAATCAGCCAGGTTTCAGTATGCAGGATGGTGTTCTGTGCAAGCCCATCTGGTGCTGCTTTCCTACTAGGGTTTTGCCAGGCCCTTTTTTCAAGGCTACAACAATACTGCTGAACTTCCAACTCTCCTTTATTGTACTGACAGAAGTTCACTTGTGTCCCAGATCTTTCCCAGCTTCCCCAGTAGACTGTCTGCCAATGGAGTTTATCACTGTAAGGCCAGCAGCTGTGTGCAAGGTGCTGTAGAGGCAGAGCAGATATGTCTCAAAGCACTGAGGTAAGTGTGGCTGGAGGGGGAAAGTTGAGAAGAGATAAAAACAGGTACTGAGAATGCAAGTGGCTTGTATTGCTTCCCCTAAACACTCTGATTAAGAGTTCATCTCTGTTTGCTAGAAGGCCAGGTTAAATACTTCTGAACATTTTCCTATTTTCTTTTTAATCAGGTACTCCAGACTCAAATACCTCCATTGCTTTCTGAAGCACTTTACCAATATTTTGCCTATTCTAGGATCTTCCTTTGTAACTTCAGCTTCTTTGGCCTAGGGAAAATGGAAAGCAGATTGTGAGAATACTTTTGATGGAAAGCACCTGGCCAAAGCCTGACAATAGGGGAACAGCTGATGTTGGCAGGAGGAATGGAAGAAATTATCTGGAAATGGGCTCCTACTCTCTTCAATGGAGCAGTATTCCTGCTGGGTTGCTGGCCTTGGGCAGGTATTCCTCCTGATGGAGACAGGCTAGCCAAGTTGTTTCCATGGCAGTCATCTGGACTGCATGTCCATGCAACCTCCTAAAGTCTCCATCTCTCCCTGCAGTTCACAGTGCAGACTGCTCTGTGAGTATTACTGGGCAGTGTGCTCAGAGGGGCCTGCATTATTTCAGGTGATCTTTTAGTGTGCTAGAGATGCACAATGACCTGCAAGTCTGAAGGACTCCAGTTACCTCCTGGTATTGAACAGGATGTGATATACTTTCCAGTTTGGCTTGGGGAGACTGATGGCAGTACAGGTGAAGCCCCAGCACTGTGATCAGTGTGTGTCAATTACTGACTCTCTGGAGTTTGGTGGTATTTCAGTTTCACCTCTCCTACATCATCATTTATCCCTCTAAGTACAGGGCCTTGATGTTCTGCAGCACTCCCACTCCTTTTTTATTCTGCCTGCCCATCTGCAGCTCTTTGCACCGCCCTGGCAAAATGTCTTGCTGGATCTTTTCACCTGGAATGCTGGATATTTGAGGCTCTTTCTATTGCTAGCAGAGCCAGAGCTGTAGTCAGGGAACCTAAGATCTGACCTAGGATTCAAGTTACATTCTGGAGCAGTTCTTGTCCTTACAGGCTGACTGTGTGCCAGTGAAGTGCCCAGGCTGGATGAGTGGAAGGGCTGGTGAAGACTTCAGGGAGACAAGTCAGTGAGTCAGACAAAGTTGTAGAAGGGAGGTGGGGAGGACAGAGCATGGGTAATCAGATCTCTTTCCTAGAAACTCCTCACTCTCAATTCCACAGTGGTCAGTGCTGTGCAAGTGCCTATCCTATCTCTGTTCTGTCCTGCCTGGGGTCTCCAGTATTAAATGGTGCCATGCATGAAGTGTGCCACAGAGGAAAACATTCTGGCACCTGATATGCTGTGGCCATAACCATTGGAGAAGGAGCTGAGACTGATGGGGAGGGTGGCTGTGTTTCTGCCTCTCTAGCCTCTTATTAGGACTTGGCAAATGCTCCATGTATTGTGGTTTGTTCATCTCTTCTTAAACACATCATCTTCATTATAAGTGACCTAGGGAGATGTTCATCACCAAGAAGTGGATGGGGAAGGCAGAAGAGATGTTTCTTGATCAAAGTGACAGGTGGAAAGTGCCTTGGTATGTCTGCTTTGGTCCTGTCTGTCTTTATGTCAGATTGAAGGGAACCTGTAAACATATTCCAGCTTCTCTGATTGCATCTGAGTAATTGTGGGCTCTGCCTCTGGGGCCTTGTTTACAGTTTGGGAAGTGGTCTTTCCAGTTCTCCTTCCTGTATCCAGATATGGTCCAGGACTTGCTTCCTCCTTGTCAGCCCTAACAGTGATTAATAAGGACACACTATTTTCCGGGATTTTCACCCATTTTTCTTAAAGGCTTGCCTGCCAGGGCTGAGGAGACTGAGACAATAAACCACTGCTGGTATGCGAAGGGCCTGAGGGCAGCAAGTCTTGGAGAAGCTGTGGTGCTGTTCCAAGCATATAGAGAACACAGAGAGAAATTCTGCTGTTTCTTGCAGCTGAAGTGAAACACTGGAATCTGCGGTTCATAGTTATCCACACTGATACATTCTAGGAGGTGACAATCCCAACAATAGCTGTTGTGGTACTTCAGGCTCTTGTGAAGCATTTCTTTGCTGTCTCGAAGACCAAGAACAGCCAAGTGAGCATCCTGGTAGATTTCTCATTGGGCTTGAGACTTTTTGCCTCCCATATGGTTTATGTGAGATGCAATGTGCCATGAATCTAAGTGTTTAAGTGGATGTTCTTTTGCTCACCTTTCTCAAAGGGATCATGGTCAAGTCTTCCCTTGTAATCAGTTAGTCTGACCTAAGTACAAAGCTCAAGGCCAGCCCCCCTGTGAAAAATAGAAATACTGACAGATGAGGGGCAGGGAGGTTTCCTGGGACAGCTGTACTGCCTGCCTGCAATAAGGTCATGTTGCCTGTGCTCTTATCGCCCAGTTCTATTTTATAAGTCATGTCTGGAACACATGTGTTTTGCAGTCAATCCTTTCTTCCC